GGTTAAATCATTAGTGACATTATATTTCTGCACCAAACGTCCCTCCACCCTGCGCTGCCCTCCATCACTTTCTGCTCTGCAGCTAAATACTTTGCTCCTCCATGGCAAGAAAAATGCCTTTCTGAAGGCTTTTGTTTCTCCCTTTGTCAGCAGGTGAAAGATCCGTCTTGTTTTAATAATGGTGGAAGGTAGGGGTCTATTCTCCAGTGGCCTCAAAGACTCCGAGTTTTATTTTATTTTGTTTTTTTCTAAACAGCATTTAACTTGACATACTGTAAAGCCACGTCTGCTGAATTCAACTGCGTTTAAAAAAATGTGACTCTGGGAGACAACTAAAAAATGTTTAATTTAATGTTGTTTTTCCCCTCACAGCTGGACTGTTCATTAGGTAGAGGCACATGCTTGGATGGGCACCAAATGCAATCAAGTATCATAGAGCGTACTTAGAATAAAATGGAAAAGAGGGCTAGCATTTTTCATTTATTTTTTAATATCTGTGTGTTTGAGTTAGGCATTGGCCAGTGTGGGATTATGAATGTGTGATAAGCTTGAGCAAAAACCACCACGGTTTCATCATAGCACAGTATTAAAAGTAAAACTTCAATAAAAAATGTAACRAGTTTTCCACACGATCTGACTGATTTTGTTTTAAAAAACGTACTAAAGATTTACTTTTACTACTGCAGCTTGAATCCTGCTATTATATGTATCTGTTCATTTATTAATTATTTCACCTATTTTTCGAGGGTGCTGGTGTCATGGTCACTGTGCGGGAAGTGGAGGACACCATGGACACATTGTAAGGGACACGGTGTGAGCGGTTGTTTTGTCTGGGTTGTCTCTCAATCACAYCAAGGGAAATTTTAGAGTTCCCAGTTAACCTAAYATGCATGTTTTTTAGTTTGTGGAAGAAAACCTGATGGTTAACTTTAAAACCCTTAATATTGGTTGGAGGTTGTAGATCAAGMGAATATCAAGCTCATCATTCAATACTTTTTGACTGTTTTTAACCATAACTCCCCCTGCTGCATCACACAACTGGAATACTTTACAAAACACACAATTTTGTCCTCTCTCAGTCATTTTAACCGTAAACTCCAACAGATTRCAGTAAGCTGACTGCAGGTCTAGATTATTCTTGGATGCAGTTTGGCACATTTAATCATTCTTTTACAAACAAACTTCCTACTTTTTTCATACCCACTTCTTTAGGGTACATATACTCATATTTATTATTCTGTTTTTTTAAGCATGGTTCAGTACAGTGTATTGATTCTTACAGGAATTTCCCAATCAGATCTGGATCTCAAACAAAAATAAAACAACAGGAATGTGCCTTTTTTTGGAGTACTTAGCATTTTAGAATGGAACAGAATATAATAGTCTTTATTGTCATTGCACAAGCTTGTGCAACAAAAYTGAACATAGAAAGACATATAAGACAACAGCAATATATACAAACTATTAAAAAAATTAAAAACAGAAAAACACATAATCACCTTACTGCCAAATAACAGTTGATTAAAACACTTATTGGCATAAACAAATAAAGAAACATTGGAACAATATTTTTTTTGTGTGTTTTTCTTTTTCTAAATTATAATGCAAGAAAATAGGTTGTCATTCATTTCATTATGTAACCTTGATTTACAAAATGATAACTTTTAGTTAAAAGAAAATATAAATCAAAACCATAAAGAACATTATTACTTTGTTTATTATCTTAATTAAGAAGAAGAAAATGNCTTTTAGTTAAAAGAAAATATAAATCAAAACCATAAAGAACATTATTACTTTGTTTATTATCTTAATTAAGAAGAAGAAAATGTCTCTTTATGTTTGAGAAGACACATTGTGGCTTAAATTAAGTTTTAAATGCAACAGAGTTATGTCTCTCTGAAGGAGACAGTCTTTTTTCATGGGAATTACAAACTCAAATTAGGCCTGTCAAAAAAATTTATACTAACTTCCAACACAACCTAACCTCAACGCATTTTTCCGACCTCAGTGCTGGCCATTTAGTTTTTTTTTAAATGTCAATATAATTTAAGCTAAAGTGATAAAATAAGCAGAATGGGGGGCGGGGTCTGTTCCCCTCAACAGCACCTTTATCTGAATGAGCAGAAGAATTTTTGCTGTCACTTCTGGTGCTTTCTCTTCTCCAAGTGTGACAGCAGCTATTGTGACGAGATGGAGTGTCTTGAAAACTAATTTAGCAAATTCCTCACCTTGATCAGGCGTGACAAAATGATTCAAACTCCAGCTTCACTCTCTGGGCTTTGTCTCAGATTCCTACAGCATCTCATTGGCTGCGAAGATGAATGGCGGGGGTGGGGAGGTCACAGAGTTAATAACTGGATTTTGCCAAAATCCACCGCTGACGGTTTTGATTCGTAACATTTCTCACTTTATCAGTATTACGGTGAACACCTATTTTGCCTGGAATACAGTACACCGGCCCTGAACCCATATTCCTCCTTTACAAGTGCATCACAGCGTACAGAGGTGGGGGAAATAATGCAGTGATGAAAAGTTAATGCTCAGTCTGCGGCCAAGGTTGGTCCAAAACAATAGCAACACTCTAAAACTTCATCTTCGGGTTAAACATGGTGACCAGTGGGATTTATTAATGCTCACTGGAAAGTAGGAGTCACTGCACACGCCTCACAGTAATTTACTCCTGAACGAGGGGGAGGGAGGGATGCAACTGTCCTTCTGATTAGCTGCTGCAGAATTCCCCCCGGTGTTTTGTTTGCCTCCACCCACCAAGTTTCTTCCTTAGTGATGCAGCAGGTAGCCGGTGGCACCTCCGTCTGAGCCGTGCCACCAGGGGACACGCTTTCCCCCTCTTTCCCCCTCGCAGATGCATGTCATCTATTATTACTGGAGGCGGCCTTGAAAATGATTCTGGCAGACCRCTTTGGCCCACTGACTGCCCCCCCTCCCAACATAAGCGGCACACTGGCAAAGAGGGGTGATGAAGACTATGACTTCCCAAAATTCACAGCTTCAAAAAAAATTAGTAAATGAATAAAAAAAGACAAAACAAACAAAAAATACCCCTATTGAGTAGTATTTTAGACAACTCGGGTACGTTCTTGTTGATCTTGGTTTCATCATTTCTTTTGATTATCCTTTCATGCTGCTGGAGGGATTTCAGGCAAATCCACGCCCGGAATATCGCGAGCCGATTTAACAAGCTCTGGATCTCCGCAGTTCAAATGCAAACAGCATTCAAAKTTCAGACAAGTAAACACAGCGGGGATTCCTAAAACTTCAAGTTCACGGACGGCTCGAAGCAAAGTGGTACAACGTTTCTGCTGGGAGAACAGCTAAACCAGTTAGAGGCGGGGCGGGGAGCGGTGTATTCTCAAAACCGCTTCAAGCTTATTGGCCTTGTAACAGCTTCCTCTGTTTTTTTTTTTCTCCCTGATACTCATTAAACACATGCAAAATATAAAACAAAGACATACACACAGATGCTTGACCAAACAGAAAACACTTGGGGGGGATTTCTGTTATATTAACTGTCTGATAGTGACCCCTGCTAGGCTACAGGGTACAGGAACAAAATAACATACAAATGCCACGCTGAAGCTAATTAGCTTTAGCTGTTCTGGACTGTTGGACACAAAAGTCAGAGAAGAAGCTCGTTACTATAATATAAAGGGAGAAAAAACATGTTTAGTTATGGTTAGAAATCGGAGACAGCTTCTTTAGCGTTAGCATGAGTCTGCAGTTGCTCGTGTTGACGAGAATCGTTGCTAGGAATGAACTAAAGACTCTTAGATGCACCCCAGGAGGCTTCTGACATCATAAAGACGCTCCGCTCTCTAACAAGTGCTGTTCTTGGAGTGTACTTGTGCCCTAATGACTGAGGCAGAGAAAGTGATGGTGCGGAGCTTAATGTGACGCTCAAGAGCTCCTGATAAACTTCTATGCTACGTAGACCACCTTTATTATAATTATCCTTGGTCAACTCAAACAGCTTAAGCTTTATCAATTAATTATTTCTAATGAAATCAAGACAAACAAGCCTTCAGCATGGCATTGGATGTGTCATCAAACAACAAAAAGAAACAAGCTGTGGGTGCGCTTCCATGTAAACCAGTTCGGATCACACGGGCCACAGCACACAAGCTAAATACCCCAGGATGGTTTTCCACCTGACGTCCCACCCGGGCAGCAAAGAGCACACGTAATGAGTCCTGCTCGTCAGAGAGGCAATGGCCCAGGACAGAACCGCACACACAAACTTTAGGGAACACAAAAGGTCCCCCCCACCATACACACACGCCCCTCCTTCGTCCGGTTGCCTGCGGCGTGCACGGCTGGTCACCTCGCTCAGGGATCAAAGGCAGCATGTCGTTCTAATCAGTCCGCACAGTCGGCAACCCCATTAATTCAGTTCTGTTTCATCAGCGGTGAGCAAAGCACCAGTCAGGTCTGAACATTCCTGGGGTCCCGTGGTCCCCGAGTAATCCTTCTATCTGCTAATGACCACAGTCTAACCCTCGGAACTGCTCAGACAAACAACGGTGATTTGCTCGCTGACAAAAATTGCGAGGTTATTATAAGGGAGAGAACCAAAACAGAGAGACGTAGCATGTTTTTTTTTTAATTTTGGTTTGTTTTTCCTAAACACGGCAGGGAAGTCGAGCAGAATTAATGACACCATATATCAAATAATTCCAGGCGATCAACCCCCCACTAAAGCAGGCCAACATCACATGCACACTTCTGTAGCTGTAGGAATTAAGTGCGACACATTAAAATTGTATTGAAGAAGAGGAAGAAAAAAATTAATTTACTCTTTTATAACCAACCTCTTCTTTTTTGTACTTCAATGCCACGTGCAAAGTCATTCAAATGGAAACTATTCAGAATACCTTTCTTTTTTTTGTATGGAGCTTTTTCTATGTATCACACGATGTGGGGCTCGCCTGCGTCATAATATGGTGTTTATTAGGATTTAAGATAATGAGCTTTTCGTAGCTTACCGTACTTTTGCTCTCCGGTGGACGAGGATTCTCATCACAGACAAATTAAACCTTCGGAGTATTGCCGTCGACACCTGGGCAAAAACAATGAGAGTTGGTGAAAACATCGAAGCCCGTAAACAGACAATTAAAACGTTTTTTTTTTTAAAACTGCAGCCACAAACATTTTTTGTTTACACCATCTGTTAATGACGGCGAATCGGTCGACGTTTGACTCGAGACACATTCAGGAGGGGGAACAATCTGCTTCTAGAGATTTATTAGTGTCGTCTTTGGTGTGGAGAACAGATGAGMGGCTGCACAGAGGCATCGCGAGCAGAACCTATCAATAACTCCCTCAAATGTCCTGAGAGATTATTAGAGGTCAGAGACGGATAATTTGGCAGTGAAAATAGGAGCAAACTGACAGCATATGGCTGGAGAGCTCAGCAGGATTGGAGGCAAATAAGTGATGGCTGGAAAAACTAGCATCAGTTTCACACCAAACTAAACACAGCTCCTTTTTTTAAAAAAAAAAGATGACGACACAGAGGATGGGTCATATGAGATGAGACACTTCAAAGAGACTCATTGTGGAACAAGAACAATGCTGGATTCGGTAAAAAAAGAAAGAGAGAAAAAAGCCATTATCTGACTCCCGGTGGCAGCTTTTGGAAGTCACCACACATCTTTGTTTTTGTTCAAGAGCCTCTGATTGGACCCAGCATGGATCCATCCTAATCTTGAAAAGGGGACCACTTTGAAACACAACTTGATCACAGGAAATAATAAAAAGTAAAGCTGAGAGCAGCAAGCAACGCAGTAAACCTTTAAATAAAAGAAACAATCCAAAACTACTAATATCTGTGTTCCGCTGCCGTTTTCTTTCATTCAAGATGACGGGAAAATAAAAAAAACTATAATAAAAAGACATTGAGCTGGAGCTTATGACCCAAAATAAATCGGTGAAAGCATGAAACTTTTGTGGATTTTCTCTCAATAAAAAAGCAAGGGTGTTTATGGCTGGACTTTACAAGCACAAAAAAAAAACGGACCCATCATTGATCACAACAAAATCCATGGTGCGCTTTTTAGTAAATTCTGATGTTGAGAAAATAAAAATTAAAAAAATGAGAAAAAACTCTCCTTCAGCTCAAGCAAGGACTTCTACTGGTTCTTTGAATTTAAGTGACACACAGGTGTAATCTAAGCACATAAAATGGATTATTTTTATATGTTTTAAACAAAGTTCTATAGAAAGTTTATGAATAATAACATTTTTAAGAGGCTAAGGCTAAAATGGACTGTGGTTGGATAATGAACTTTTACAATCATTGTAAAGTTTGCAAGGTTATTCCAATATGATTTTCTTGTCTGAAGTACCCAGGCTGCATTGGAAGGGTTCCAGCCAGCTATTATTGTTTGTGCTTCCAACTAACCATGATATTTTAGGTAAAAAAAAAAAGTGTTATGTAAAAGTGACATTTTATAAAAAGGTTTATGAAACAGCATTCACATTAGCTGCTACACAATACGAGACTGGAGTTGTTTTTATGACAACAGCGCCTTTGCTTTAGCTTCACTACGACTAGCTGTTAGAAAGTCAATTTGGTCCAAATGAAACCATTTTTCTAAAATGTGGTTATTTATAACAAGTAAGATATTAAAGTCTAGGTGTAGATCGGCTAAGTTGAGTGTATGAAGCAGAAGGAGTTTTTTTTCTGACAGGTTCTGGTTATGCCGGGCAGCTACTAATCACAGCATCTGTGTCTGAGCTGGTGTATGATGTGCAGGTACATTTCTTCCTCCAACTCTCCCCCGAAGGTACGCTGCCACAGTGTATTTTTTAAACTGCAGGGATTTTTTTTCTTCACATTTGTGTTCCTTTGAGGTAGTACATGGAGGACATGGACCGTGTGGTTAGGATGGACTGCAGAGGAAAATGTCTGAGCCAAAGCAGGCAGCAAAAAATTGAAAATAATAAGAATAATAA